TGGCTATTAGTAGCTGTTCCAGCATTTGATAATGGATCTCTCTGCTCCCTTTCAGATGTCAAAAAAGCCATTCTGGTGGTGATGCATCACACCTTCAATCCCAGCCACACTGTAGCTGACAGCAGTAGACAGGTGCAGAAGCCAAACATCGTCCTCACGGTGGATTGTCTGTTTTATGAGCGCGAACTCCTCAGATGCGACCGCAACAACAACTCGATGAGCGAAATCGAAAAGATTCTTGGAGTTTCCTGGGTTAGTGTTAAGGTTTGTCAATTTAATTACAACCTCTCATTGCACAGTGAATCTATTTTTAAGCTTAATATGTTGCTTTATGATCATACTTGTATTTATTTTTCTCTTTTTTAGAGTTTTAACTGGAAACACTTCATTAAAAGTAAGTAAACTTTCAGATTTCAGATTTTTAAAAATGATGTTCTGTTTTTATCTCTACATTCAAACAATTGATCCTGACATATTCCAATGCTATCGCAGTATTTGCATTTAGGTATTTAATTGGAGGTCTTAATGATAGAAACAAATAAATTAAGTGCTTATATCAAGGTATTAGTTAATACCTCTATTGGATTGCTTAGAGAACAGATTTTAGCTTCTGCCAGGAGTTTTGCATGAGTAATAATAATAAAATATATAATAAAACACAATTGATTTAAATTTACAAGGCATTATACTGTGTAACCATTTCTGTTGTATTTTGTTTTCTCTTTCAGGGTTCAAGTTACCTCTTCTCATCGCTTTGATCGTAACATTTACGATAATAATTGGTGCATGTTCCATAATATATATTTAACACGAAAACTCAACCCCCTTTTTTTTTTTTTTTTAGAAAAAAGGAAAAATTCAGTTCTGAAAAGTTCCACTTTCCACACTTATTACAAAATGTCATAATTGTTTTAGTCCATTTTTTTTCTTACCTTTATGTTTATCTGCATAGTTTAGTTTTTTCTGTCATTTTGTTGCTGTTACACCTGAATCTACAACAATAATGTCCTGTTTTCAATCAAAGCTACATAAAAACAAAGTCAGACCATTATTGACCTTGACAATGAACTGCACATTTTGGCTCTTTATTATGTTTATTTACCTCGAATTAATGGATACCACCAACACTTCACTGGTACCTGGATTATAACAGAACATTATTTGAGGACCAAGCATCACATGACTCCCCTGCAAATTTTCGTAACGGTTCGCAACATCGGCAGAAACGACAGACAACAACAATGAAGGACATTTTTGGAACTGTCCATGGTGGCTAGAGAAGGACTGCAAATGTTATGCCACCTGTGAAAGGTCCTGCCACTGCTGAATTTGAATCCTCAGCACATATGTCCACATCTGGTACACATGAGCAGTTGCTGGACTGGCCTAAAAGAGTAACTGTGCCACCTGTTGACCATGCAGTGTCAGAAGAGCTGATGAAGCAAATAACCTCTCAACTTGATTCATTGGGATCGGCATATCATCACTGGATTGATCCTGTTAATCCTACTTGACAATAAGATCATGAGAAGGGAGGGTTACTGGATACCGAATCAAGAGAGTGACACCTTTTGATGTTCAGACTTTTTAGTACAAATACAGGAAAACAAAAGGAAAACAAACAACAATTGATATAAAAATCATTAATATTATTTTTATTTATCCTCTGGATATTTTTCATCGTTCGATTAACAAATTCATTGATTATTGTGATAGGCCTAGTGTTTGGCATTAGCAAGAAAATCTACACTGCTATGTTTAAAAATGGAGGATATCTTTTGCACCATTCTTTTTTAACCTGGTGAATTTAAAAGTTTTTATGTGCATTTCATGAAAAAATATGCACTCCTAAATATTTAAAGAGATGGAATTGTTTTGTGCAAGACAGATAAATTCTACTATCACAAACCACCATCAGCATTCTTCTGTGAGATAAAATTCATGGATGCCTGTGCATTCTATTTATAGCAGTAACCAAACAGACATGACCTTTCAGTCTACTTTTTTTCTTTCAGACGTTAAAAAAAGGTTCATTTTGAAATTGTGTTAATGTTTTTTTCTTAAAATCTTTATTCTCAAGCTATGTCGAAGATTCAGTTTTCCTGACAAAATTCTGTCATTTACATCTACAGAGATCCGCTCAGTTTCTCAGTTTCACTACAATAAAGGCCCTGAAATCCATTTCCTTTTGCCTCTAGCCTCTATTCCTCAGTCTGCTCTGCTCACCACTTGACAGCTCTGTATGGAGCAGTGGAGGTCTGGTGCAGAGTGATTAGTGAATGTCTGGAGGGGGAGTGGGTGGGTGGGTGGGACGTTGGGGTCACACCTCTGGCCTTAAAAGGCGAGGCAGAATACCGACAGCAGAAGCCCCCTCTAAAAATATCTCCTGCTCTGAAACCCAGCATGAAAGCAACAGCACCCAATTAGGTTCAGGGCTTTTTAAGTGGCAGTTAAAATTTTCCATCAAACTCATAAAAAAAAAAGTTACCTTGAAAGACCAGTATGAACATCTTAGACACACTATGGTCACATGACTGGTGCAGAAACACCAGCTGCTGGGATGAAGTTACATCAAAGTTCTTCTTTCACTTCTGCCTTTTGCTTGGATCCCCCCCAGCAGTCCCTGCGGTCAGTCTAATTCTGTCAGAGCCGGGGGTGGGGGGGGAGGCCTGCTGTATCTGCAAACCCAACCTGCCAAAGGGCAAAGACACTGACTTTCTAAACTTGGTCTCTGCCACTCTGTCTCTCCACCTTTTCCACTTGGGTAGTTTTTAAGACCAATGTAAGCACATGTCTGGATCCAGGAGGAATTTTTGGGACTTGTGATGAAATAAAGGAAGTGCCGATTTACATAGAACAGTCGTGATCCTGCTGGGCTGAAGAGTTGTTGTTTTTTTTCCAAACACCCTGGGATTAAACACCCAGTGGGATTAAGCTGTTTAAAGGAGGAAAATCCTGATATTTTGTCTTCATGGAAACATAACCTGCACAAAGGATTGACTTTTTGGAGGATTTTTTATATTGGAACAATGACAGATGCTGCTGAAGGTAAGCCATTACCTCAGACAGTGTCATTATTTTATACATGCCTTGTGTACTGGACTCTTGCAGGGCTGTTATATTGCATGGGGAACATTCCTGAACTTTTGAAGTTATCTAAAAATACGCAGTTATCACACAGCAGCACTTTGTAATGCAACTACTGGATCTGTGCGACGTCTTTACTGCACTTAGGGGTCAGTCACTATCAACACTCAGCCTGCTGTTGCCCATTTCCATGTCACCTGATACTGTGTGACGTTACCTTTTCTTATTTTACCAGATTGATGGCTGGGTTTGGTCTTTAGATAGTAACGGATTATCATCTCACGGATTAGACATGTTTTTGGAACGACACTGCATAATTTTAAAATACACTACAGGCAGAAAAAATGATCAAACTTTTAACTTCAGTGCATTAATTAGGGTGCATCATAGATAAAGATCATGAATTGAAAGCTCTGCAGTTTGATATTTAATGCACCCTTATGCATCATTAGCAAATAAACTTAATAAATGTTTTAAATGATTATTTTTCTACTTTATTATAGTGACATGGCATCTTTAAATTGATATCAGCTGATTTTTTTGGGGAATAAATAAAGTGACACAGAGAGCTTTTTCTTTCTAAGGTACTTTTCAAAATCGGAAAGCTAAGAGAATGTGATGTCTAACTAATGCAGATGTGTTTTACTCTAAAATGATACAATAAAATACCACCTGACCTAAACTTGCCCAAATATACCATTAGATTATTTCAGGGGATTTGTAACATTTCATCTATTGATGTCATTTGCTTGTTTGTTTTGGTAGTTTTTTTTCATGATGAAGTAAAAATTCAGCCTTTCATTGGACAGGCTGGAACTGTATGCATCTTATGCCCTCTGTGGGATATGGTGGACGATCTATGTTGACGTAAACCTTTTTTCCCCATTGTCCAAATTCAGATTGATTCACACAACATTTTGAAATAAGAACTAGTAGACTCTTCCAGCACAAAATCGACCTTCGTTCATCCGAATCGGCCCTTAAACCTAAATCCTTTAGAATGAGTTCTGAGAGCTGAAGAGAAGTTTCATCTTCAAAACCTATGTTTTTTGGCAAGTTAGGAAGATTTTGAAGAGAAATAGGACAGCGATAATTCTTTTTCATTGTCCTTTTGCCCAAAGGTTGTATGAATAATTTTCAGCACGGGTTTAAGAAGTGACATCAATATAATTGTTCTTGAACATTTTTTTCCCCCTGTTTATGGTTTGTTTTATAGGAGTTTCTTGTCTGGAGATTTTCTGCAATAAAAGAATACTGTAATAAAAATAAAGAGCTTTTCCCCAAAAATTAAAAAGGTAAATCAGACATAAATCCTAAAAACAAATAAAAGATTGATCATCAGAGAATAAACTTGGAGAAAACCAGGATGGGGCTGGAATAACAAAGAATATAAAGAAGAAAGAGTCAGAAAACAGCCCAACAAAAGAAAGATTCTAACTAAAATTTTACATAGAAACTTAGAAAGAGGAAAACAAAACTTTAAGAGAACACAGACCTGAAGATGTAAAGGATTTCAATGCTAATTAGCTGATTGCATGAGGGTAACCGATCCAGTTGGTTCAGTTGAACTTCGACCTAATCCTCATTTAAAATCACATCACTAATGCCATAAATGTTACATAAAGAGCTAAAAAACTAAATACTGGCAGTCAGTTCATTTGGTTTCTTTTTAAGTTTTAACTTAAACCAACAAAATATAGAGATCTAAGGATTATGCTGAATGTATGTTAATTGCAAGTGGAAAAGTTAAAACCGCAAACACTCTCAGGTGAAATGTGTCACTCCTGTCTTTTTCCAACAATGTTAACATATGATTAAGTTTGTGTCATTTTATAAATGTAAAATTAACCGAGATCTTTCCTCCCATGTTTTTTTTGGGGGAAATTAAGATCATTTAACAGAAAACATAGAAACAAACTTTAAATTTGTGTATTTTTAAATAGAGCAGGTTTTTCTTGCATAGAACATGAAATAAAATGAATAGACATACAGAAAACAATAATTAACACCAAAACATTTAGTTGATGTTATGTATTTATAGCTGTATCAAACTTGTTTTTCTTCTTCAGGGCGCTAAAGGTGCAGCCTGTAGCATTATTGTTACCCTCTGAAAGCAGCACTCTCACTCCTCTATCCAGGTCCTTTATCTTTCCAACTTTCATCTTGCTCTGCTTCAGTCAGACCCCTGTGCTCATTAAAGGACTGATATGACAACACCTTACTGCTCTAAAACTGAGCCAACATATCATGAATATCTGGTAGTAGAGAGGAAACCATAGATGGAGACAGGTCAGCCATAAAACAAAGGCATCCATGCATGAATGACTGATCAGGCCTTTAAAGCAGGTTTTCAGAAACTGGTAGTTATCCATGCTTATAAGATGAAAACAAAACTCAAATTTTTCTGGGGGAAGGGTATTTTTTTGTATGTTTTAAAAGAGGAATTAGAGAGCATTCAAATGAATGGTCTAGAAGTTTTGATGTGCCAAACAGAGGGCTACTTGATATTAATAAAAGATTTAACTCAAGAAGCATCTGATAAACAGAAAACAATCAGCACAATTGAAAGTTCTGCAGAAGGTAAACATTTTTACATCGGTAAAAGTCTGTTTTATTTGAATCTAAATACAGAAGTCTTTCAAAATCAGAGCAATTCTGAAAAAGCCTTTGGAGCAGTTGGAAAGAAAAGGATTCAAAGTTTTATAAGGCCGGTTTGTCATCACACCGAACAGTGCTTTATATGTGGGTGAGATGAGGCTGTTAATTAAGAACTATGTGTTTTTTATGCTCTTTGGTTCAGCCACCTTAACCCATCTTTGACTGGAGGGATTGTTGCTTCAACGTCATCACCCAGAAAGCCAAGTTTTGCTAATATCTCTCAGTATGACATCTGGAAGGCTTGTAGTTTCTGACTTCAGAGTCAGAGAAGTTATTATTCAGACTACTGGCTCCAGAAAAAACGCATGAGGCCTTAACAATGTGGAAAAGATAGGTAAAAGAAGGAATCTGGAAAATCTTCCCTTCAAAATAAATTCAAATCTTAAAATGATCTAAGATGGTAAACAAACAAAGAAATCAAAACTCCAGTCTACCATTTGATTCTTGGACATTTGATTCGACAAAAACCTGACTAAATTGCGAAATGAAACAGCATGCTTGGTGAGCAGTGGTAGCTGGTGGAGTTTTTTCTAAGGGGCTAAAAATTCAAAATAGACGCATATCAAAAACCAAAAATATACCTTAAATCCAAATCTACCATAAATCAAATCTGTCTTTTGCAAGGTCAAATATTGTGTAACAAACCTAAAACAAAAATGTACCAGTTTAATAATGGAGAAGCTAATACTCAGCTTAATACTTTTCTAAATATTGAAAAACTATTTATTTTCTGGCAATGTGTCTATTTATGAGCAGCTATACAAAATGTCAAACATCTAGAAAAAGCACACTATCTTACACTATTTTCCATGTGAATCCCAGATTGTTTTTTCTCCTTTGCTTTTTCTAAAAAGGGCTTTATATCAGTACTAGCTGTCTTTATCAATGCTGGGTCAGATCCTAACATTTGAAAAAGGAGGCAGAGGAGCTACTGCGCATGCACAACTTTAAACGAGAGTCAATGGGCAAAGATTTTTGCGCCCTAGGGTGGAAATATGTCACCAATCCGACGAAAAAAACGAAATGACGCTTTACTAGTTATTAAAGAATAAATATTCATCTTGCACATCTAAAAAAATATATTGATATATTTCGAAATACTTTATATTTTATTCTAAAATGAAATTATATAAAAAAGAATATATACATATTTTTGTAATGTCTTAATCAGGGTCATTGGGTGTGGGGCGGCTCCCTAGCGCCCTCTATTGGCCAACCGCCACTGTATGCAAAGAGAGCAGAGACAGAGGAAACTCTATATTAAGTGTATTACTAAGGGTATACTGGCCTGATGCCATATGTTTAGCTGACAGAACACCAGCCAGAGCAAATTGTCATCCCACCTGGATTGCTTTCTTGTGATTAGCTTATACAAGGGAGCTCTGTGATTGGCTGCAAACCATCCCCTGAATAAAAAAATGCATTTGTGTATCAAGGTACGTCAGGAGAGTCTCAAAAATCCACACACAAATGCAGTGAAATTTAAAGCCCACTGGTACTTTGTAATTCAATTTAATATTGTTTATGGACCAGAAATAAAATAAAAAAATCATAAAAAAATCATGTGCTGTGCATGTGTGAATCTTGTATGGTTGCGTGAATCGTGCTGTATCTGTGTAGAGCTTGTCCTGTGCATGTATGAATCACATATATGTTTTTGTGAAAACTGAAACCGATTTAGCTCCATACATCTATCATACTCAGACAATAACACTGGTCACTGCTCTAATCAGTCCATAAGTGATTCTGTTAGCTGGAGTTTAGAACGTTTTGCTGTTAAATAAAGTGCTTTCACAACTAACTCACTCTTCCGTGTTTATATGGACCAAGCAGTGGTGAGCACTCTTTTTGGAGCAGGAAAGGTTCCATCCTGAAACAAACATGAGAAAAAATGTGCATTATTTCTTGGCCAGCTGAAGCAGTAAGAGATCCTTAAACTAAAACTAAGGAGCTGATAAAAGCCTCTGAAAACAGCTCTACACAATAAAACACAAGGCAATGTTTCTTGACATTTTAAAGATTGTGTCTATATAAAAACATTACAGTTGTTTTTTACTCAGCTAAATAAAAAGGATTTTATTTAGAAGCCACATACACTTCAACGGGCATTATGTTATAGTGGAGCTTTACTGTTTTACAAAGGTCAAATTAGTGTAATTTATCAATAACAGAGTCCATTAAAATCCCAAGAATCGTTTTATATTTATTTGCAGCAGTAATTTAGCATTAGCAGTTGACATTAAGCATGCCCATTTCTTTATAATATAAAACCAAGCTTAATGCAGTCATGTTTTATGTTATGT